CTCTATTCTTCCGTTTTTTTTTTTTTTTTTTTGAACAACGCCCGCTATTCACCGCGCTTTTTATGCAAACAACGTCGTCGGGGTGAATAATTAAACGAAGTGAAATTGAATCAACGACGGTTACATCGAGATTAATTCATAGGGAGGCAAAAAACGACCGATCCACAAATTAATTAAACATGTAATTAATTCCGCCCGAAATTCAATCGATCTCATTTACAATTCTCGATCGTCATGTCGCGAGTGATAATAATTTTTCTCTCGTCGAGAGCCATACGTGTCATCCGATTTACAAAATAACTCGTCGAACGCGCGACACCATGGATACGTTTTAAATCAATTAGCAATTAATCGATTCGATATCTTCACTCGTTTACAATATTCATAATTGTCATTTTTGATGAGATGGAAAATTCAAAATTGTCTGCCTATTATTCTTCGAAATTGAAAAGAAACGAAGAGATTAATTTCCATCCCCGATACGCACGTAGTTACACACTGTGTGTGTCGGTAACGAAGCACGCGAGGAATACGAGATTCCCTCACGACGTGTTCCCTCACACGGAGGCTCGTTTCGTTTCATCGTTAAGCTACGATCGCGCGAGAGAAAAATCGTTGGCTAATAGCGGCTCGCAATTAAATAATAGTAAAACGTGCCACCACCCGCAGCGTCGTGCGATAGCGATTTCATTAAAGCGCCACTTACAATACGATATTCCGGGCGCGACCTAAAACCCGCTCCCCTCCTCCCTCCCCTCCTCGCTTCTCTCCGTAGTCGTTCTCCTCCGCTCGTAAAAATCACGCGGACTCGAGAAATTCGCCGCTCGTGTTTGTCCTTCTTATTTACACGGAAACGAGCGTATATATGCGAGATGGCACGAGGGAAAGAAAAAAGAAAAGAAAAGAAAAGGAAGAGTCTTCTTCCCTTCACCACTTCCCACCTCCGCGTTTTTACGATTAACAGGTGTTTCTCGAAATCTCGAGACGTCGGATATCGTTCGATCGCTATCCTCGGTGATCGTGCGAGCTCGGTTATTATTACGTCCGTAGGTACCATTATCGGTATTGTTGTGTACACCTGCATTGATCAGAGGTGGTCTGTGCGCGACGCCCATCGAGTCCCGGCCACCACTGCCCAGAGCTGGCAATTAAATTAGCGAGCCCCTGGCAATTCCGCCATTTTTCGCGCGAGCAAACTTTACGTAATGATACTCGAGACGGGACGAAAGGTCGCGACACGAGGTGTGTCTTTGGAGGATTTTCGCTTAATTCTAGCTTAGCGTCGGTTTAGTTATTAGTTACTCCCCCCGAGGGGAGTACGAATCTCGACCCGAGGAGCCGGACTTTGTCCGACTCGTTGCAACTCGTCGTCAGATTCGCGCTTCTCGTTTCATCATTTTTGCAAATGTGCAAAAATGAGCGTGGCTATCTGCAAGCCTGTTATCAGAACAGAATTCCACGCATTGCATCACGTTCCTCGTGGCGCTACAGCCGCTTTGCACAAAGAGCCTGGCAATTAAGTCACTGCACCTGCCACGCAATTATGCGAATCGTTTTTCCTTTTTTTTTTTCTCCCTCGAGAAAACGCTCACGCTCGTGGTAAACACGCTAAACGTTTTCCTATCCTTTCTTTCATTCTCCGCTTGTTTTCTCTCTCTCTCTCTCTCTTTCTCGATATCGATCTTGTGCAAGCTTAATGATACCAATTGGTTCGAGTAGATCGGTACGATCGATTCCCGTGCATATATAACTCGAGAAACTCGGTTGAGAAAATTCTGAAATTCGAGTTTGAATGGTATGCTTGGACACGCGTGCGCGAGAAAAATATCAATGGAACAGGATCGATCGATCGATCGGTGGAAAACACCCGACACGCTTCGATTACGCTTTGGTCGAAAGGTTAAAAGCCGGGGCTTTGCTATCTTTTCTGGTGAATCAGCGGAGCTTCGTAATTGTCGAGGGAAGATTAGGAAAGCCTCATAACTATCGTCATCATCGTGCATTGCACACCGGTAACCGGTACCAGGTCGTATATTACGTGGAGCGTATGCGCGCATGCCATTGACTCGTGCGAAACAATGTTTTATTGCATGGGTCCACTCCCTTCGTACGGACGCCACCGTTCATTTGCACTTTTTCTGGGTCGGCCTGTGTGTCAATTGTTGTATCGTATGGATGTTGAAATTTGTACAGGGAAGAAAAACGAAATGTTTTACTCTCGAAACAAAATTTGTTTAATCGTATCGAATGACGAGCTGTAGTCGCACGAAGTTGTTATGGCATTTCTACCATTCATATTGGCTGATATGTGAGTTCAATCTTTTGGTATTATGCATGCAAAATTTTGGAATTTTACTGGTTGATTTTATATGATTTTTTTTTAAAACTATCCTCGCTGCTAGGATATTTAAATTATCCTTCCTTTACGTAATACGCTCTCGTTCAATCACGTTCGAGCACAATGTCACAAGTACAGTTACAGTAATTGTAAACGGGTTCACAAGAAGTTT